CTGATGGTGGAACCTCTTTCTACAGCTGATGGTGGAACATCTTTCTACATCTGATGAGCAGAGTATTTCTAAAGGGTTTAAAGTGTAAATAGTGATAAATCTATTGTATGTGGAGCTTCTATTTTTTCCAGTATTCATAGCACCTTTCAGTAGTAAAAGAAAATATTAGAAATGTAGATTCATCATTTTTCTTCTGCCAAATAAATAATAAAATTGCACTTTAAATCCTTCTGTTTTTAAGACTTCTGTCATTAGAACTGCGTCATTCAGCACAGAAGACATTTCCGAGGTCTCTTTACTTCTAGTCGCGGTTGTTCTGTTTCCATGGAGGTGCAGGACTTAATATTGTAGAGAAAAATGAACCCACAGTGAAGAAAAATGGGAAAAGGAGCAAAGAAAAAAAGACTTCAGAGGGTTAAGCCGAGTATAAACTAAATTTGCACAACCGCTTCCATTTTCGACTATCTTCACATTTCAGCGACTTCGATCAAAAACTCAAAAAGATGAAGAACCTTTACAAAGCCCACTGAGCAACGGGTGAATTAATCCAAAGCCAGACTTTCAGAACTTGAAGTTGGGTTAATATGAGGATAGTACTAGCTGCCACAGACGGACTGAATCTGTGCAAAAGTTGTCGAACACATAAAGGCATTATTAACAGAAAAAGCTGCATCCCGACCTGCAGCAACATGCTACGTACCCATCGAGTTGTCCTTTGGTCCCGTCCAGCACCTCCACGCTGTGCTGGTCTGGAAAGCTCCAGTTCACGCTGGACTCCTTGGTCTTCCCTGTGTGGCGCGTGGAGTCGTACACGCTCACCCTGCCCACCTACAGTCCGGCCAGGTGGTGAGGACACAGAGCACACGGTGGACATTCGGTGAGTCACAAATTCCAACATTAGTTGCGTAACACGCACAGCGGCGGGCGTGACGCGGCGATGTGTCGAGTTCACCGAGGTGTAAATGAAAGCTGTTAAAAGGAGGTTAAACTAGCTGGGCTGTGTGTTTGAGGGTAGTTTAAAAAGTTCTTGGCCTCAAGTGGAAACAACTGTGAATTATAAAGCTTTTTATTAGCGTCCAGAAAATAATCGAAAGGGAAAAAAAAGAGGAAAACTTGGAGCTGGTTGCTGTCGTTTTAGGACACTGTGCCTCCAAATTAAACTAGAGATCGACTGAACCCATCATTCATAACTGGGCTTCCTCATTAATAACTGTGACTAGAACTGAGTATATTCAACAGGAGTTTAAAATGTCTTAATCAGTTTGTCTCCTGTTCTTCTCTATTTTCTTAATCTTTCTCTATTCTATCACTTTTATCTCCCACTAAGGTCCATATCTTAAAGCTTTATTAATTATTGTTATACACACTTTATTTCAGGTTAATGTGTGGCTGCTTCTAGCTTAGCCGCTAGCCGTGAGCGTAGCATTAGCCGCTGTGAGAGACATCTAAGCACATTTCTGTATCTCTCTTGTATATTCTTGTAAATTTTGTTGACTTTTCTTTCTTATATTTTTATCTTATTTATTTTACCTTCATGTTACACCCTACCCTAATATTCTGTGTCGTCTTTTTGCTTTTCTTTTGCCCCCTCTGTTGAATATTCACGCTGCTGTAACAACTGAATTTCCCTCTGGGGGATTAATAAAGTCAGTCTAAGCCTAAAAGCTAATTTCCTGGTTCGTTTTGCAGCTTCTGCTTGAGAGACGGACAGAGAGAGGAGGCAGCATCACACCAGAAGTGGGACATTTAATTTATCGATGATCTGCCAATAAAAACACAGACACCGATAATCGTGAAAATGCCAAACATCAGCCACGATCATCAGCATTTCAGAGTGATGAGGAGGTTACACATGCTGTTGAGAATCTGGAGGCTCCAGATGTGACCTTTTTCCTCACAGTGATAGTTTGAACATCAGTGCATCAAATGCATTAAAGTTAAAAGAGACTAGATTTAAAAATATCACAAGAGCAGTCCTTTTAATGTGCTCGTCCTCACAGGTGGCAGAACCGCTGCTCCGTCCGACTTCTATCGCTGTTTTCAGAGTGACGATGAAGTCGTGCGTGCTTGTGAGGAGTATCTGGAGGCTGTAGATAACCCAAACCCTGACCGTGACTTTGTCCCGCCAAGCTTGAACATCGGCGGATCGAGTGCATTAAAGTTAAAGGAGGCTATATTTAAATATATTACAACTTTCTGAAGGCCCCTCCTGAGCGTTAAGTGCTTCCTCCATCTTTCCCGGCGGCGCGATAGTGACCTACCTGCTATTTTGCTAATTGATGGATGAGCCAGATTTAAGATGAGCAATGACAAAACAGCTGCGCGGGCACAAACAGGAGTGTTGGCAGCTTAATTGATGAATCTAGTGAGAGCGACCTCAATATTCTTGATTAATGTCCAAGTGCGGCTGCCAAAAACTCGTGTACTTACCTCAGGGTGGTTCAGCTTGAAAGGAGGGGGGAGGCTCTGGGCGAACGCCTCGCCGTCTCTGGCCAGCCGACAGCAAACGGCACGCGTCAGGTGACCGTGGCTGTACAGGTAACCTGGCGGAGGAGAGCAAGCGGTAAAACACACGTCTGAGCCAAGAAGCAAATGGGCCGAGTTCATCCGGTTTAACAGCCGCCACGTTGTCGGCGCTAATCTCTATCTGGCGGTACTTTACCCAGCGTGATGGACTTCAGGTAGATGGGGTTCAGGAAGTGGGAGAGCAGCGCCCCCTGCAGGCCCAGCACGTTCCAGCGCAGGATCTTGTCGCTGCAGCTCATCGTCCGCAGCCTCTCGCCGTGCTGGATGCCGTCCCAGGTGGGCACGATGGCGCTGGACTCCACTGGGATGGTTCCCTCGCCTGGTGCAGGTAACGACACAAAGAGTCACACGTGCTGCCGACAGACGGCCGACAGACGAAGCGTGTTGAGGACAGTTTGGTTTCTTACCGTTCTCCACTTTAGTGCGAAGCTTTCCCTGCTTAGCGTTCTCAAACAGAGGCTGGTGGCCCTCCACTTCATCGCCGGCTTCGCTGCAGGACTTATCGAACAGAGCGCCGTCGCCGCAAGGTGCCGTGCTGAGGAGGACAGAAAGAAAAGACACATAATATGACTCCGCGACAAAATTCAGTTTAAAAGTCTGAACCTCAAAAGCTGCTGGCAGGTTTGAAATCCATGTTATCTTTCATCCAAAAATTGCGAAATTACACCATTTTTCTCAACCAAAACAAAGATTTTCTACTTTCCAGCCATTCTTAAGCTAATCATCTATGATACCTATTGTGATATTTCATCAAAATCTTGTTATTTTACGTGGGCCATTTAAACTGTTGGCAAAAAAAATGAGAACATTTGCACCACATCATTTAAAAAACAACTCATTTTGTGCTCCTCCGTGCACCTGAGATGGCGTTAGTGTCGGTAATGTGACAAAAATGTCATAATTAACATCTCCACCTTGCTTTGTTGTTTCACTGTTTTGTGGCAGAAGAAACCAAATAAAAAAGAATTTTAAAGGATCATTTAAAAATCTGGAATGAGTACAAATAATTTTGGATCCTACTTCAGGTGTTTTTTTTTGGTGAGCTCAGCTAACCTGTAACTTTTCGCCCCTAATTATAACTTCTCATTGTTTAGTTTGCCTGCTTGTCACTAATGAGGAGAATTCAGTTTGAGTTTTTAGCTACAGCCAGAAATAATAACTCAAATGTTGCACCAAAGTGATATCAATGAGGTGTTCTGAATGGAGTTTAGTGTTAAAAGAGAAGCTAACGTTAACTTTGACTGCAACAAAACAACAACAAACAGTATAAATGGACAGTTCTATGTAGCAAATAGAACAACGGATGCTTGTTGTGTTGGGTTATGTGGTGAGTTTAATGTTGGATGTGGTGATTTTAGACAGGAGAAGTTTAACCAATCAGCATTGCGTCATGGACAGCCACGACACTGGATTAGGTACTTTTTTCTTCTCTTGAAAACGGTTCTACGGGCATGTTTTTACATTCAGAACACATGAAAAGGTTCCGGCTGCCCTGATTTGACCTGCAAGTCCCTGCAGCGGAAGAGGACTCACTGATGTACGGGACTAACAGGCAGCAGAACGCTGGGAGGAGGTGAACGAGGAGAAAGAAAACATCTGATACTCCCACCTGATGTAGAGGTGAAAGGTGATGTCAGATTTGATCCGCAGTTTGTTCTTCTCCGCCGGCTCGAATATGCTGTCGTCTGCGCCGTCATAGTGCTTGAGGAGCTCGTTGTACAGAAACCTGAGAGCAAAGGAGACGGTGAGTTGGACTTATAAATAATGACCTGCAGGGCTGAGGAGAGGAGGGGGTATTTTTAGAGCATTGACATCCTCTCCTACCGAACAAATCCCCTTCTGGAGATGATTTCAGCGTGGCAGTCGTTCACCGTCTCCCCTTTAAGGCTCAGCTCCTCCCCTTTAACGCAGCGGTTTCCTGACAGGAGGGCGAAGGAAAAAAACAAAACAAGAGACACGTTCAATGTCAGGGAACATGACAATGCGACGCCTCTTGGTTCTGCAGTGACCTACTTTGTGACATGCCTCTGAGCGCACAAATCCATAAAACCACGCGTCGCAGACAAACGCGATGGTGATGCAGTTTTTCCTTCTGCTCCACATCCTCCTATTTTTTGTTTTTTGTTTTACCGCCTTGCCAGTTTCAGAGGTTAAAAGGTGAAGCACGTACCGGTTCCGAGGCTGACGACGGTCCCCAGGCCCTCGCCTCGCCTCATGACGATGGTGGCCAGGATCTTGCGTCCCAGGAGGCTGTGCTGGATGCGGGTGGTCAGCGAGTTGAACCGCTGGTGACTCAGCATCGCTATCTGGTCGTGCAGGGTGCTGCCGCTCACCGGTAGCTGAACGGGACGAGACAGGCGGAACGGAGAGAAAACACGGATCATTTAATCTCGTGTAAACTGGGTATTACTCAGGCGTCTCTGCTTATGTAACAGAACCTAAAACTAGACCTGCTTTCAAAGTCATAATTAAAAAAAATGATTCAACACTGATTCTAAGTTTAGTTTTGAGCTTTTATCGCCTCTGTTCTGCTCGCTGTTTACCTCAAAACTCTCTGAATTTTTGTTACTTGACTGTTGCTCACACCTGAGTCAGTCTTTGCTTAACAGCTGCATCAAGGAGCGCAGAATTTTTTTTTTTTTTACAGAATTTGGTTACGCAAACCTTTGTTCTTTTTGGCCAATTCTTAAGTGAGACATGTAGAATAAAGTGAGTTTGATCAAATATAATGATTTAAAGGTTTGATTTGGCTATTTTTTCTCAAACTTGAAAGTCAGACAAGACTTTTTGTTGTGTATTGCTCCGATAAAAAGCATTTTTTAAAGATAACATGCCGTCTTAAGAACATGCTTTTGGCGCTCAGAGGGTTAAAAACTGTGTGTAGTTTATTTTAGACATGTTTTAAATGAGGTTCCACAGTAATCTAAATGTACATATTTGCTGTTGCTTTATCAGTACACATCAAGTGAAGTGATTAGCTGATTATCTTACAAGGATTAGCTAAAGATTAGCCTAATCTTTCAGCACAGGTAATCAAAACCTGTTCCTGTGCTTCTGCTGTTCCTCTCATCCCTTTATGTTCCACCTTAATCCCATGTTGAGTCAGGTAAAGCTCTTCTCCAGCTGGCGCATATTCAGATTTGAAGATGCTTTGAGAAGTCCGTACCTCAGCCGGGATGAGCTCGCCGGTTCGAGCCGCCCTCTCGGCTTCTCCGATCAGAACCCGCAGGGCAGCGTCTGCAGCTTCCTGCTTCCCCTGCTTCTTGTTGGACGCGCAGACCGGAGGGAACCAGCGTCCACCCAGCTTGGCCTGGTAGGTGAACCTGAGGGGCAAAGAGACATGCAATCAGAGGAGGATATGACAAGAAAAATAAGCACAAGAATCCATTTGAGTGTTTTCTTTGCATTATCAAGTGACATCGAGAGCTTCAGAGAGTCAAAACAGACAAAATTATAGCTGCAAATTTACAAGTTATTGCAAAAACTATACATGAAGAACATGTTTTTACAAGCTTACTGTAACCTCGACAGCAAGTTGTCGTTTATTTGGTGCGAGTATATTAACCATCAAAACCCCAAAATGCAGCAGAACGACTGAAAGGCGCACATACTTGGGCTCGTGCGGGGGTCCGGACTGTCCCACCAGGCGGATCTCGGCGGCGAAGCCTCGAGCTCTGGCGTACTCCAGCAGCCCCGACACAGCGTTGTTGTTCAGGTGGTTGATGAGGTCGCCGACGCCGGCTTCGTGGGCCGCTCGCAGCTCGTCTGCAGTCAGAGGGGGCAACGAGGGGCACGTTGTCCCGGAAGAACCCCCGTCGCTGTCGCTGGATGAGCCCAGGGGCAGCTGAGGCTGCAGGGAGGTGGGACAAAACCATTCAATTCAGCAGGTTGTTTTAAAAAAATGCAACCCTGTTCTCTTTCATCCCGACTAGGAATGGACCGATTATCTGTATTTTTCCAATTATCAGATTAATGATAAATTAAATGAGCTACTTCAGGTCTGATGCAGCCTCCTCTCTATGCTTGTCGTCACTCTGTGGTCTCAGAAATGTCTCTCAGGCCCAGACTGCAAAAACTGCACACCAAACTGCGGCTAACGCTACACTAACAGCTAGCAGCTAAGGTAGAAGGCAGCCACAGACTACCCTGAAACAAAAATGATTGAACAGTGAAAGATTCAGTAAATAGAGAAGAACAGCTGATGTAACTACAGGAGACAAACGGATTAATCTCGGTGAACAGAGGAGATCATTTAATCTCTCCTGTTTCTATTTTACATAGTCGGTTATGGTCACCCCCTTAATGAATGAGCCCAATTCTATGGTGGCCCAGAAGTGTAACAACTAAACAAAAGCCACAACACAAAAGAAAAGGCGCAACACAATAGAACGGCTGCAACGGAAGTTTTTTTTTTAAAACCCGGAAGTTACACTGTCAAGTGTGCAACCACACAAAGTGGGCAGAAGCTGGAGATTGTTGGAAACAACTCGAAAGTAAGTAAAATACTAGATGGCAAATAGTGTCCATTAATCTCGGTATGCGGTATTAAAGCGGTTGTTAACTTTGATTTACAAATAAAGAGTCATTGCTTGTTTGACTTGTTAATGTGGACACTTCCGTTGCAAACATCTTCCGTTGCAGGCGTTGTGTTGTGGCTTATTTTGTAGTGTTGCGGTTAATTTGGTTGTGTTGTGATTAATTTTGTGGCTGATTGTGTTGTGGCTTTTGTTTTGTTGTGACACTTCTGGGCCACCGTACAATTCTGCTATCACACGCTCTTAAAACATTACAGGTTTACTGACTCCAAATATTGGCTTTTCTCCATTACCAACCACCTGCATCGGTATCCCTCCCCCCTAAAAACAACAACAACAACAACAACAACAACAACAACAACAACTCCCGCCTGAACAACCCGAGCTCTTGTGTGTTTCGGTGTCCACACCTTGTTGAGCTGCAGCCTCCCGTCAGCCATTAGCTCTTTGACAGCCTCCTCCGCTGCCAGCTGGCGAGCTGCCTTCTTGCTTGGAGCTGAGGCTTCTGCGAACAGGTTCTCTCCGACCTTCACCCTGTACATGAACCTGGGCATGGGACGGAGGAGGTGGAAGAGGGAGAGAGTCAGTCGGGTTGGTAAAAAATAGACATTTCGATCGTCGTGGCAGTTTCATGTTAGCATACATGCAGCTTTTGTAGAAAGTTACAAGAACAGAAGTCGGTATTGTATCTTAAAGCTGCCTACAGGGAGGGAATAACCAGAAAGAGCAGTAAAGAGCAGATGGACAGAGGTGCTATTGTGTCTTTGTCAGATGACTGCAGCGCTGATGAACAGGAATAGCTGCTCCTCTGAGGCAGAGGCCACAGAGGAAGTGGATCTCTGAACCTGAAGGAGCCGGTACCTCGGGTCATGTGGCGGGCCGGCCTGACCCGTGATGATGAATTCGATGGGGTTCCCGCTGCGCTGGCTGTACTCCATCAGGACGGACACCGGGTTCTTCCCACCGGGCAGAGAGCGGGACAGGGGCTGGCGAGAGCCCTCCGTCATGCCTTCAGTGCTGCTGTTGTCGACGGCGCCCTGGAGAGAGAAACAGGGTTTCAGCACTAGATAATTATCTCTAATGTAGTTTTTGCTTCAACAGGGCTCCAGATTGGGTTCATTGGGCTGTTGTGTCTTTCTAGTTTAACTGGTGCTACCAACTTTTTCAGTTAGTTGGTCAAGAAAGTCAACCCACATCTTCATTTTGGTACATCATCGCCACCATTAATAATCCACCTTTCACGCCGATTAACCCTCAGAGGTCCGCCATCACGATATAATCACGACATTTTCGATACGTCAGGACAGACAAAATAACGCAACTTCACTCCAAAATGCAGACTTCAAACTTTCTCCCAGTTTTTGTTTCATGTCGATAAGACCATGTAAAACCAGAGATATGATGTCATGAGCACGCGTGGAAAAAAAATGTAAGCGTATGAAGTAAGCGCTGCATTTCTTTCAACATCTTTGTCATCTTTCGTCATTTTACAAAAAGGAAAAAAATCAAAACGGCCTAATCTGCTGATTCTGCTCTTTAGACTGAACCTACGTTTACATTTTCAACTTTCAAAATGCTTCGTTAAGCATTTTGTGTTTTTTATTGTATAAATAATATATTTTTTCAAATCAGATTTTACATTTTTTGTGTGTTTTTGAGCTCAAAATGTTAATACAGTAGGTCAAAGTGGAAAAAAATAAACATTTAGATGAGATAGGTGATGATGTGCTGAAAAACAAAAGACACCAAATACGGGCACCGTGAACATGTTTGGTTTGTTTACATTCACTGATGTTCCAGGGAATCTTTCAGCTTGTGGGAAGTTTGAAACGCAAATCTGTAGAATAATAAATAACTTATGATAACCCTGACTTCAAATTTGTAAAATAGTTAAATCAGGAAATGTATTAAATTTGTCGCCAGTCGTTTCCTGCTATCACTCCTGTAAACTCCTCACTTGTCTGCTTACTGATAGAAAACACAATTTACCGATGTTCTCTGAACGCATTACATACCGGCTAAATCTAATTAGCTAGAAAAGGGGGGAATAAGGTGTTCTGAAGTCAGATGAGTGGAGAACATCTCATAGATCAATATCGCAGTCGGGCATGTTAAGTTATTTTTTGTAGGGAGTAAAACATTTTAATATTTGTGTAATTTTCCATCCTGTTGCACTGTTTTAGCTGTGATGATAGAACGTAGTGGGCTAACACTTCTTCTTTACTGACTCTGGTGAGGTGTATCTGGACTTCTTCCTCTCCACCAGCCTCCTCCTCTGTTCCTCATTTTGTTTTTTTTAATTATCGCCCATAGATGGTTTCATTAGAAGAACTGGGCTGCAGCTGATGATTACTTCCTGGAATAACGGGTTTGCTGTGTGGTCTGTTAAATGCAATGAACCAGTTTCTCAAGATGACAAACGTCTTGTTTACTGTCAAAGAAAACGGAAGAAAACAGATAATATTCACATTTAAGAAGCTACAATCAGACAGCCGACTGATTAATGGATTATCAAAACAGTTTGTGATTCATTTAACAGCTGACGACTAATCGATCAGTTGTTGCAGCGTTAGATTAGACTCCTGGCTGCGTGGAGACGCTGATGAAGCCGGCGAAGTGGACAAAGTACTGCTTTCATTGACAGGAGCTTGTGCTTTCTTGGGCTGCATAATTAGATGAATATTAATCAGGATTTTTTGCCTCCCAAAATTACATGAACTGCAATACTGACATTTAAAATGCTGCCGAAAACAGACCCTGTAAATGAAATTAACTGGTTTCAACTTGGTAAATCTGACATTAGGACGTTCGCTGGCGTCTACTGTAACCTGCACACGAGGCGTTTAGGGAACATCTGTAAATTATAGCGTCCATCAAAGACCAATTGAAACAGGCGACTGTTTAAAGCAGGTTAACTTAGATTAGAGAGCTCAAGAACTTACGCTGGTGTCTGGAAGCAAATCTACCGCTTGGTCCACGCTGGCAGTGTTCTCCTCGTTGGCCGACCCGCCCTGCATCTCCCCGATGAGGATGCGCAGAGTCGCGGCCGCCGCGTCCTTCTTGGCGACCTTCTTGCTGGAAGCTTCTGCGATGGGAAACAGCCTCTTGTTGAGCATCACCTGCATACGGAATCTGGCGGAAGTAGAGCAAACGAACAGAGGAGACACAATGATGTGACAATAGATGATTAGTTCAAGAGCAGCGAGAAAACTGTGTCGCATAACGAACAGAGTCAATTTTTATTCTGGGTTCGTTGATGCACTGAAATCAGGTTTACCAACAGGTGCTTTACGGGGAGCAACAAACATGTAGGTGGAAAACACAAAATTAGGTGTATCACAGAATAAAACAACCACACTCGTGGTCAAGGAGTGTGTATGTTAACACACTCCTGGGATTTAAAGTGTGAGGTGTTTCAGCTTTTGCTTTCCTTTAAACTTCCTGAGGTCATTTTTAAGTAAGGTTCACATACACCTCTGTACCTCACACATTTTATTTTTTTGCTTTTTCACATTTTGTTCTTCACTGTGAGCTCATTTTTCACTGCAATATTAAGTCCTGCACCTCTGTGGAGGCAACTAGAAATGACATGTTTAATGCTATAAATCACAGAAAAAAAGTGAATTTCTCTGACTGTTTATTTTACAAAAACAAAAAGAAACTGGTAACAGACATGTACACCATTTTCCCAAAGTGCCCACAGGTGTTACCAACACTGGAAAAAATGTCACTACACATACTGCAGATATTTAAATTTTTACAACCTCTACAAACTCGCTCTGCTCTGCACATCAGCTGTAGAAAGATGTTCCACCATGTTGACTGTATCGTCCAACAACTGGCTCCTCTGTTCACTGTTTCTGAGCCATGCTGCATTTACTTATTGATCCAGTAGGTTGGATTTACCTCCAAAACTCCCTTATTTGTTTCCCCTCTCTGCTTTTTGTAAACACAGCCTGCAGTTCAGCTAATTAGTTTTTAAATTTATTGTCACGTGAGTGCCGAATTTTTAGTATTTTACAGAATCTGGTTAAAGCAAATGGCTCATTTTTGGCTTCTTTTCTAAATAAGACATGTAGATAAAGTGGATTTTGATGAAATATCACAGTTGTAAGATTTGGTTAAGTTTCCCAGAAGCTGTAAATCTGACCATTCTTACTGTTTTTTCAGTTTCTAGCTGATAAGTTGTGTCATTTTGGTGATTTTCTACAGATAACAGGCTTTTTCACACCTTCTGGCAGGTTCTGCGGTTCAGAGGGTTAAAGACGAGGCTGCTGTGGCACTAAAACCTAAATCTGAGCAGAGCTGTTACTTAATGAATGTAAGAAATGTGATGACGCTGATAAACATTTAACGGAGCTTGGTCAACACAACGAAGTAAATACTGACCCCGGTGCACAGCTGATTACATTTCAACATGACAAAACACTGATGACGATCACAGAAGAATTAACCCCTTGTGTCAATCAGAACCGAACGGAGCGGTCCGTGCCACTCACCTCGGGTCGTGGGAGGGTCCCGACTGGTCGAGGAGCAGGAACTCACAGTTCTGGCCCAGATACTGGGCATACTCCATGAGGCCGCTGACCGGGTTCTTCAGCCTCACCTCCTGCAGTTTGGCCCACAGGTTCTGCGGCGGCGGGGCGGGCAGCGACACGGCGACCGTTCCCATGGCGTTGGCCTGCTCTGCCGCCAGCCTCTCGGCGTCCGTCTCCCTCCGGATGGCGTTGAGGAACTCTGGGATGTCGTCGGTGGCCCACTGGCCCTCGTTGGTCTCTTCGTCTTTACACGAGGGGAAAGAGGGCCGCTACCGGGAGGAAAGGGGGAAGTGAGCTAGCGTTAGCCGTAGCGCATGTTTAAGCAGGTAAATGTGAACTTTAAGGCAACACGGCTGATTTAAATTTAAATCAGCGCCACAAGAGTTTAACCTGAACGCCATCCAGCAGCCAAATAAAAAATAGTTTAGATGCCTTTTACCATGTGATGAAGTTTCCAAACTGCTTCATCCAGCTGGTTGACTAGTTATGTTTTTATTTTTTATATCTTAGAGGCAAGAACCCTGTTTTCTTCACATCACAATAACAGTTTCTGTTGATACAAAGACGATGAAAAGCTGCTCTCACCCCAGCTGCATGAATCTGGGTGTTTTATCTCAAATTGAAATCAGAGGCAACAAGAGAATAAGCTCATTGACAAAGATGTTGAACTCGTCCTTTAATCTGTGTTAAATCAGATTAAGTATTTTGACACAGACATTGTTGGCCTATCTGTGTCAAAGAGCTTTTAGTTAGAGAGACTTTTACTGATGTTCACGTTTTGCTTTAGAATTTCTTCTTTGCGTTCTTCCTTTAACATCATATTTAACCTTGTCAAGCCCCAAAACCTGCCGGCAAGTTTAAAAGGCAGAAAGAATTTCAGGATTTTCAACTTTACGACAGTCCTTGAACTTTGTGAGTTTTGGTTTTGTATAGAAAAACAACCAAATCCAAGCGCAAAATCGAGATATTTCATGAAAACCCCTTTATTTTGAAAGCCTCTTTTTAAAAAATTGCCAAAAATAAACCATTTCTAGTTGCCAGATTCTGTTAAAAAAAAAAAAAAATAAATAAATATTTAAACTCCTCAGCACAACTGAGAAGCAATCAGCGACTCGGGTGGAACCGACAGTCACATGACAAAAATTCAGACTTTTCAGCTGAACTTCTTCAGAGAGGAGAGAATTATAAAAAACAAATAAAACTTGTAGTAAAATATCTATAACCACTATTATTATCCCCAGGATTAGTAACATTTGAGGACACTTAGAAAATTGAAAGTTGAATAAAGGTTTCTAAATTTTATAGTAAAATAAACAATGACAGAAAGTCAACTTTTATGCCAACGGTGTCACAGAAGACATTTGATGGTTGTTGTTGTTTTCATAGGACTTTAAATTGGCAGAAAAAATGACTGTGATTGGAGCAAAAACCACCATAAACTACCTGGGGTTCAGAGGAATAAGGGATCTTTCTTAATACCATTTAACAAATTAAAATAAGCAAATAAAACCACCAGAACTTGACGTACCGCGTCGCTGTGACTCTGCTCCGACATCCAGCCCCCCAGCAGTGGTATCGACTCGAGGCCTGGGACCGTCGGTAGCGGCGACCCTCTCGCCCTCTCATCGCAGCTCGGCTGCTCCTCCATCTTCTCGCCCAGAGCCGAGGCGCTCTGTGCGGCCTTTAGGCTCCTCTCCATCCTCTCCCGGCGGCGAGTCGACAGCTCCCACGTGGGAGGGTTGACTTCGGCATTCTTGACAACCTCGCCTTGCTTCTCCAGGACATACAGGGTGGGGTTGACCTGCTTGGCTGTCCTCAGACCCAGGTTTTTTGCTATGACGAGGGCTGTCGCCTCCCCTGAACCCAGGAGGTACTGCAGGATGAGCTCCTTCTGTTCCGTCATCATAGCAGCCTTGTGCTCCTGGTCGGGGGAGCTGGGAGTGCTGGGAGTGCTGGGATTCTCGTGGTGCTGGCCTTCTGTTGGTGTCCTGGATTGCTCAAAGCCGTCAGACTCTGAAGAGGAGTTGAAGGAAATGCTGGATTCTGTGTCTGAGTCTCCTTTGGGTTGTCCGCTGTCTTCAGATTCTGGCTCGGCCTCGGCTCTTAGAGGCTGTCTGGAGGCGACGTACAGATGTGAAGGTTTGTAGTTTTGATCTTCGTCGCTTCTGAGAGGTTCTCTGTACAGAGTCCACTCAGGAGGGGTGACTCCTCGCTTGGAGGCTTTCTGTAAGCGCTCCAAAGCGTACAGAGCCTTGTTGACTATCGTCTTGGGCAGATGCAGCTTTTTGGCTAACGCTTTAGCCGAGATACTCTCGGTTGGCCTCAGAGCTCTGTGCACCTGCTCCTGTATGGCAGGCGTGAGAGTGATGCTAGCTGCAGTAAAGTCTGTAGAGTGTCTTTCAAACCGGTCTCCTCTTCTGTCTCGATGAAGAGACAAACCCTGAAATTGGTCACTCAGAGGGTCCGTCCATTGTCTGCTGGAGTACTGATTGCGGTTTTTACCTTGTTGCTGGTTTTGGTTCAGGTGTCGAGGGCCTCGGGCGGCTCCGGAGAAACTCTGGTCTTGGCTGTAGCCTCCTCTACCTCTACCAGGGCTGCTGTTGTGGTACGTATACCTGCCGTACCCTGGTTGGTGCTGGTAGGAAGAACTGGGCGGCCTGCCGGGCCCCGCTGACCCTCCTCCTCCTCCTCCTCCTCCTCCTCCTCCTCCTCCTAATCGTGGGCCGACTCTGAACTGTGGCGCCTCAGAGCTCTGACCTCTGAGGAACTCTGTCTGCTTATAAAGAAAGGAATTTGGTGCTTGTGGGCTGGCGGGTTGGTTCTGGTGATGTGTGGACACGGGTTTAGGGATTCCTTTAAGGTGGCCTGGTATCGGGGGAGCGGAGGGGATGATAGACGGGGGTTGCGTGGGCGCTACAGGGTGGGCGGGGCTGCTGTAGTAACCCGGATGTGGGATCTGCTGCGGGCCGGCTCTGGGGAAGAGTGGGGCCGGGCCAGGACTGTAGTAGTTCTCCTTGGCCTGCAAGTGGGGAGGTGGATGCCTGTAGTAGTGTTCTTTGGGAGGCCCACCTCTGCCTCTGCTCATAGCGCAGGGGGTGAGCGCGAAGGGGCCCGGAGCAGCTGGCAGCGCAGCTTCAGTGTTAGCGGACGTCCTCGAGCACCAACAGAACAGCCGGACGGAAAGTCAGAACCGACCGGTTTCACGCTGAGAGCACCTGAAATACAAACAAGAGGACAAAGTCAGGAGAGTAGAGCTGCTGCTGTTTACCTACTGATGAATCCGTCGACTCTTTCACTGATCTAAGCTAATCTAAACGACTAATTCTACTCAAAAAAAAAAATGTCAGATGAGCATTTAAGTTCAACTGATTGAGACAAACTATGTTATTGTATAATGCAGCACAGGACCAGGTTTACATCTTTAACCCTCTGAACCCCAAAATCTGCCAGTAGGTTTTTAAAAAAGCCAAAATTACCCCATGTATCGTAGCGAGACCCTGTAAAAACAGGGAGAATCACTGGATCTTCATCTTTCTAACGGCCCTTGAACTAATCATGAGGATCCTTCAGTTTTGTTGGGAAGAAACAACCAAATCTAAGCTAAAAACGTCTAAAATCACAACATCTAATCAATTATCATCTTGATACCTTTCTCATTTATAAATTTGCCAAAATTAAACCATCTGCAGGAAACAGACTCTGTAAAAAAGGAAAAATCTTTGTTGTTTTGTTCAATCGAGAAGCCATGACTGACTTAGCTGTGACCAACAGTCACATCGGAAAAATTAATGGACTTTTTTTTTGTACTGGTAACTTGGAAAAATGCTGTACATGCTATTCCAGTTTATTGTTATTATTATTATTATTATTATTATTATTAATAATAATAATAATGATAATAATAATAATAATAAACAAATAACCCAATTAATTCACCTTTTGTTCTTTTGTTTAATGATCTGTGCCATTCTGCACAGATGAAAATTTCTGAGTTCTCGCTCTACTTCTAGACATGGTTTCCACAGATGTGCGAGACTTTTATTTTGTAGTCAAAAAACCCCAAAACAAAACAAAAAACAAGCCGGCAGTGAAGAAATATGTGACAGTGGCAAAAACAACAACAACAACAACAAAAAACACTATAAACTGCTCAAAATTCAGAGGGTTAAAGTGCAAAACTGTACACTTAAATTGCCAACATGATAAAAAAAATAAAATAAATAATGCAATGAGGGTTTGTTGTTTAAATCAGTAGTTCTACTCCAAAAATAAAGCCACATTTCTAAACAACAATGCTCAGAAGTCCTAGTAAAGTGAATAAGTTTGGTTTGTGTATTGAACAAACATGGACACGGTGGATATTTTACAAGCATAGAGCAGCTAAAGTCGTGGTTAGAAAATCAGAATTTTAGCTGCAGAACCCCAACTTAGTAGTGGCTCCTGGTTAACGGTTAATGATTTTCAGTCACTATTTCATATTTTGTCTGCTGCGTAACAACAAAAACAGATAAATATGCTAATAAGCACTGCATTATTGGGAATTCGGTGGTATTAAAATGAATCTTATGTGAGCACAGAGAGCAGGAGAGAAGCTAAAGCCAAACTCTGCTCGGTGTACAAACCACCTTTGGCTTTTGTAAACTTCTACTTTAACCGATTTGGACGCTGCTGCAGCCCCCGTTCTCTAAAACTCCAACACTGACTGCATGTGACGAACACTCTGAGCCAAAAAACTGACGTCACGACTCGACGATTATGCAGCAACGCTGGACAAAAACATTTGTTATCATGAACTTAAGTGAAGCCGGCTCCGGGGCAGAGTATTAACAAATGGAGATAAATAGCGGGGAGATAATTGAGCGGCGAGAAAAATGAGGAGCAGCTGGGAGTTGGGAGAAAATGTCATTCCAGTCGATAGCACAAGTTCAGGCCCCGCTGGCGGCCGTCCAACCTCCTCAAGTGTCCCTGGACGAGTCGGTGAATCAACACCGGCTCCAAGGACGCCGTCTCCAGCATCACCCTACACGCCCGCTTCCCAGAAACGCAGCAGAGAGGACAGTCAGAGATGTCGTTATTGCACAACTTTGCAAATGTCGTACGTCTTCGGATTAGAACCCGGGCCGAGTCTGCAAGGATACCGCGGGGCGACACGATATCTCCTCCAGTGGCGCTGAAACTTAACCCCGGGGCAAGAGGAAGTCAATTAATAATTCAGACCTTCTTGCGACTATTCTGTATTATTTCTGGCCTTACGAATTATTGCTGGATGTGGATCCATAGCGGAGGGGAAAAGTGAGACAGCGGTGCAGACGTTGGGGTGTTTCAAGGACACGAGGCGGTGAGAAGGCCGTCGGTGTGGAGCCCTGCAGCTGCCAGCACACAATCCTGACTCCAACACTATTTTTGCATGGTTAGGTTTAATCTCCTCCTCCTGATGCTAAAAAAAAATTAATTTCTTGAGCTGCCACGGTCCAGAATCTCCTTCCACGGTGGAAACAAACATCGATTCTGGCTCGAGTGTCATATCTGACAACACTCGCTGATGTCTATATCAGCGAGACCGACAACAAGGAGGCGCCCAATACTGAGTCAGGTTTCACCCCCTCCGGCTCAGTCAGCATCACGTCGAGCCGAGCCGGCCCCGAACAGCGCCGTGCTAATGGAGAACACCGCAGTGTTGGTCCATCATGGTAATCGGGTCCGACAGGGCCGGCGGACCCGGCGAGTCGACTCATCTCAACCCTGACATGAGGCACCGTTTGACAGCCAGAACAACAACTCTGTGCTTTTCACAATCTACTGTCATCGTTGCTCTTTTTTTTTTCTTTTTGTGGTTCTGAGCAGCAACGAGACGAACTCGACAACTGATGAATCGACTGCTTTGTGCGATTAATGTCGTCCTGTCAGGAGAAAATACGACACACGCTTCATTAATAGCAATCAGAACATAAAAATGAGTTGTTATTATTATTGATTCATTCAGTACATTCATTTCTCCTCTAAATGATTAGTTGTGGCGTCTAGAAGTCTATAAATTGTCAGAAAAATGTTGAAAAATGTCCATCAGTGCTTCCTAAAGCCAAAGCTGACGTCTTAAAATGTCTTGTTAATCCACAGATCAAAAATTACTGAGTTCAGTGTCAAAGAGGAGGAAAGAAACAAGAAAATGTCCACGTTAAAGAAGCTTCAATCAGAGAATTTTTCTTTAAAAAAAATTACTCAAACCGATTTTTTCTTCAGCGAAATAGTCAACAATTGATTTAATAGTTGACAATTAATGAATTACTTGTGGCAGCTTCAGATCAGAACGCAGGGAGATGCAGATTAATAAAGAGCAAGCACCACTTTGAATCACAATGACTGGTGTCTTAAGTATTAATTATTATCAAAGGCAGTGCCTTGTTTTGTCCACAAACCATAACTATTGAGCTTAGTGTCAAATAGGAGAAAAGAAATGACATTTAAGATGCTTCAATCACAGAATTTCAGCTATTTTTCTTTTTAAAAATTAGTCAAACTGATGCATCAATTATCAGAATAATTAACTAATCAATCACTTGTTGTTTGGATGAACATGCAGCTTGTCGTGCGTCACTGCTTTCTAGGGCTGCAAAATTAATTAAACATTAACCAAAATTGTGGCCTCCAGGAGTTATCAAAAGTGATGCTGACGGAGCGTCTTATTGAGTTTAGTGTCACAGAGGAGGAAAGAAATCAGGAAATATTCACATTTAAGAAGTTGCAATTACAGATTTTTTTTCAAAAATATTACGTAATTACCAAAATAACTTGCAAGAACATTCCTTTATCCGTATTTATTTTATGTATGTGTAGAAATGCATTTTTGTGTTTTTTACTGTTAACATTAAAGTTATCACCCATTTACGTGAACAAAAAGGCTTAAGCAAGGTTCAAAGGTTTAGATTACGCCTATTTTTCTTCTGGTCTTTGGTAAATATGATCAGCATTTATCGACATCGACTGAAATAATACATTTTATCATGATCATCTTTTTACATCTTCCCGCACTGACATCTTTGCATTAGAGCTGCACAATACAATATAATATTCATAACATATTATTTCAGCACCGACATCATGATTTGGAGTAACACAAATTAACTCAACTTTTTTCCTGAAAACTTGCGTCATTCTCATTTTCTGTGACATGTCTACAAAAATTACACATAATTTCTTGGGAGTTTATTTAACGTTATTTTAAGGACACGGTGTGTTTACCGAAGCAGGAACGGGAAGGTTTGGTTGCAACATCAGCTGTCTGCCTATTTCAAAGAGCGGTACAGATCAGCGCAATGTCAGATAAGCACAGAACTCATTTAAGCGCCAGAGTTACGCCTCATGAGAAAGGTGCCAAACTGTCCATTTAAAGTTATTTTAAATATTGTATACAGATGCACTCCTTTGCAAAATCCCCACAGTCATTCTAGAATAATTAAACCTTTCCAATTAGGGCTATCAGAGCTGAAAATTCCTGCATTTTTTCAGTATATATCACATTAAATCCACATATGCTGCGTCATCTTTCTCCCTTAAAATTGCAGAAACGACACCAGGAACATGCTCTGACCTCGGTGCACATGCATGACACGACATTTCCAGGTGGCACAAGGCCTCTCACCTGAAGTGGTTCAAAAAAAAAACAAAAAAAACCTAAAAGCAGCAGCGATGGAAAAAAATAAATAAAAAATCAACGGTTTGAACGTCGGAGTTTCTGCAGCTTCTCAATAATCAGGTGATTTAAACCTTTAAACCGAGAAAAGCAGCGACTGTCCAGAAGTCAGAGAGCGAGCACGTAGAGCTAAACCGTGTGAAAGCTGAATGAATTCCAGGTGAAAGGTGTTCTCCGGGTTCCTCAGGTGTTCGCGCTCCGTCTGTCTGCAGGTTCGGCTATGAAACCACAAGGCGGGGACTCGGCTTTATGAACGCAGCGTGGCCGTTGCCAGGCTCTTACACCAGCCAGGTTCAGGGAAAACGACACACAGGGAAAGGGAAACATGTCTGGAAGCACTCTGACTAAGTTTCACTTTCGTTTCTGCAGAAAAAGTTCACTTTCCGTTGTGCGTCACGTGACCAGCGGCGGCGCACCGGAGAGGAAACCGGTTCATGAAGGATTCAGAGAGAGAGAAGTGGAGCTGCTTCTGTTTGTGAGGCTCATTTACATCAGATCAGACTCTGTTATAAATATAAAGCAAGTTAAGCTGCTGTTGTTCTATTGTACTGTTGTGTTTTTCCCCAATAAAAATAAAAAATAACGCGTAAAAATGAAAATATGAACTGGAGAAGGTTAAAACAACCCAAAAGAAGCACATTAAAAGGCAATTTACATAAAATATACTTTTCTGAATGTTTTTTTTTATGCCAAATTCATAGACACTAACTTTCAGAAACATATTAAAGACTATTTTTCACTGTTTCTTTGAAATATTTCACACGTTTTGGATAAATTCCACCTTTTTTTTTTTTGAAGCTGCATACTACATACAAACTAAGAAAAGCTGTGTGGCTCATTTTCCAAATTTAAATCACATCAGACTCTCACATAAATATACAACAAGTCAAAGTGTTATTGTTCTATATACTAGTATGTGTTCTTTTACAATAAAAACAATAAACCTGCGCCTTGAGGCAGGTTTCTGGAGACTAAAATATGAACTGAAGGTTAAAACAACAAAAACGAAGCACATTTCAAGTTAATTTACATTAAATATACCTTTCTAAATGCCTTTTTTCCCCCAAATGTATAGGCACTGTGACTTTAATAAACATAATAAAGTAAAATTGAAAACATGACCTGTAGAAGGTTAAAACAACAAAAATGAAGCACATTTCAAGTTAATTTACACAAAATGTATTTTTCTACCTGTTTATAAAGTATTTACAGAGTAAGAAAAGCGGTGTTGCTTCTGTTTGTGTTGCTCATTTTTAACATTTAGATCAGACCAGACTCTCACATGAACATCAAACAAGGGAAAGTGTAAAAATCTCCAATAAAAACAAGAAAAATTGCACCTAAATGCAAGTTTTTGGAGGTTTGAAATTGAAAACAGGAAGTGAAGAATGTCAAAATAAGGCAAACAAAGCACATTTCCTTATTTATCTTTTAACCAGATTTATGGACATTATTATCTATTTTACCTTTTATAAACATAAAAAAAGGAACATTTTTTTAACCTATTCTTTGAAATATCCCAAACATACTGGACAGATCTCATGTATCTGAAGCTGCTGTTGATTTTTTTCAGATTTTATTTCTTACTCTGATAATCAAAAATCATGATTAAGTTCACCATTCTATATAAACGTCTGCACCAAATAGGCAAGAACCTGCTTATAAAGTTGCTACAGAGTCAGAAAAGTGGAGCTGCGTCTGCTTGAGTGGAATAATTTCCTATAAAAACAATAAAACTGCACCAGGAGGTCAGTTTTTCTGGAGATCTTCAACTTAAAACATGAACTGGAGAGACCAAAAACAAGACAAAAGAAGCTCATTTCAAGGTTAATTTACATGAATGTACCTTTCTGGTACATTCATTTGGTTTTGACCTCCTGAAGACTTCAAAACCGTAATAAAGCTGCTAATCTGTACGGTTGTTTCCTCACAGAGCTCTGACTGATTATGTTAAGCATGTTTTTCTTCAATAATTTGCATAAAATACACATTTCTGACCGTCATTTTTATCATTCTATACACTTTTTTTAAATTATTATTTACAGAGTTTTGCTAAATCTCTCCCTAATTCTCATATTTTCTACAAGAACTGAACTCTTGATAACTCAGCAGCAGGTCCGACCTCCTGAAGACTTCATATCTAAATATGTTTTCACTAGATTTGGCAGTTGGCTTTATTGTCCACATTTGTGTCCTATTTATTAAACTAAAAGCGTAATAAAGCTGCTAATCTGTACGGTTTTCTCCTCAGAGAGCTCTGACTGATTATGTTAAGCGATTAAACATGTTTTTCTTAAATGCATTAAATACACATTTCTGACTGTCATTCAACCAAATATATGGACATTAATATCCTCTCTACCTTTTGTAAATGTTATAATTAAGTATGATTCAAGCTATTATGTGTTCTCAGTCTGTATTTTTCCATGAAGCCTATGGTTCTTATAATCAGTTAAGTTTCAAGTTATTATGTATTCTGAGTTTTCACTTTGTACTGAGCTTATGTCCTTGAAGATAATGTGGCCAGTGAGAACTGGTTTGCACACTTGGAGATATCGGAAACTCCTCTTTTCTATTAGATACGATTGTTACTTTAGCTACACGCCGTACCAACAACGTCCACACACGTTGCTTACCAAATGTCAAGGACGTGGACAGAGCACAGAAGGATGCCTGTCCACGCCATTAGTAACTGGCCAATTAAATCTTATCTATGTTCGGGGCAGGCCCAGCCCAAGAAGATATCTGTAACCTGGAACCGAAAACTCTCAGTTCAGCTGGACATGAGATTCCTCTCTGTCCCTCTGAATTCCAGCGCTGCAAAACTTTACCTGTGACCTAAATAAATTCTGCATCTGAGAACTGAAGATTTCTCCGACTTGTTCTTGGGCTTCCAACTAAAGAACCGGATCTAACATAAACATACTAAAGACACATATTTTTTAACATCTTAAAAGATTTTGGACAGATTTTGGTTGTTTGAAGCTGCTGCCTGCTTTTTTTTAATCCTTTATGATATCATCTGTTATTATCTAATCTGTACATTTAACTGAGAAATGTAAATATTAAGGCTTCAAACGCTATAAAAGTTTAATTAAACACAATTTTACTTCCAATATTAAGGCTAAAACCCTACATTATTGATAATAATTGCAATTAACCTGCTCAGTTTTAAACTAAGGTTACAACTCTTTAATAATATGCATTAAAACTCAACATATCTGAGGATTCCCAGTGAGCAGACTGTGCTTTTATTTCTACTTTTATCTGTAATAGTCCATGCATTCATAGTAAGTTCTCAGCTTAATTATAAAGGCAGTAATATTTGCAGGAGAGTTAATACGTCACGCATCTGATCGCTTGAAGTAAAACGAAAATGAAGGCAACAGTCAAGTCGCTGTTATTTCATCCATTTAAAGCAACAGCTGATAAGCCAAAGTGCAGAAATAACACCGCTATTACAAATTAACCTAACGAGTTTAAACACCGAGGCGCAGACCCTGCAGCGGTATTAATTATGTGCATTTACCAGATTAATTTACATGCTAATGATCAAAACTCTGCAAAGGTTTACACAAACACAACTCGCCAAACTCATTCTTTTTAACATCAAGGCTGAGACCCTGCAGTTTTGTTAATTATCACGATTAGCACGACTAATTTAAAGCCACAAAAGCATACATGGAAAACCCAAAATATTCCCTGGAGTCCCTGTTGGTGAGCTTCCCCTTCTCATTTTCATTTTAATTGTGATATTTTGTTCATAGAAAGTTGCTTGAATAAATGCAGTGAGGTGTGCAGGAATGCTCCAAATAAAAACCTGTTTAAAAGCAACTGGATTTCACTTTCAGGAGAAGTTTCAGCTCTTGAAGAACTAAATGAGGAGGTGAAATGTGATCCAGCTGCTTTTGACTGAATCTCCCAGAACAAAAACACAACTTATGATGCTGAATGTAGAAGTCACTGTGGGTATTTGGGAACAAATCTGCAGATGTGGGATGTTGTACTTATACATACAGAGCTGTTTCATCTAAAATATATTTAAAATGAGACATGTAAAGCATCCAGAGCTACAGAAGGTAAATAAGTGGAATCATTTCTTAAAGAGGACCGTTTGAATGTGGCTGTACAGATTTATTCTGGCTCAGAAATGACACCAACCCGAGCAGTGGATCCACCTGCAGCATCTCATCCACTGAACGCAACGCTTCAAGCAGGACTACTTTCTTTCTGCTGAGGTTAAAAAGCCCCCGTTTGTGCTGCTGTCTCTCTGACTAACCCCGGCGGTTTAAACCCCGGTGAAGTCGCGACCGTCGGTGAGCATCAGTTAACGGACGAACTCGGAACACCGCCGCCGTTATCTGCTCTGACTGACGCAGACTTTGAAGCAAACACAAACAAGCTGCGGCTCTTCCTACCGGGGACGTACCGCTTTAAAAAGCCACAGGTTTCCCCGGCTCGCTGTTTCAAACCTCCGCTAAACACTCGGGAGCTCCGAGTTTCCACTTTTAAAGCCGTGAGGTGACATTACGGGACCGAGCGGGCGGCCAACGGAGCGCGGTTCCTCCTCCGGCTAACGTTAGCCGGCCTGCTAGCCGCTCAGCGGAGCTCCGCACCGCCACTGCACCATTTCTAAACACCGCCTGCAGCACCGCCGGTTCGCCGCCCTTTTAAAACTACCGGGGCCCCGCTCCTCCCCCCAGAGCCCCGGGAAGAGGAGCGCGGAGAGTGGACAGAGCGGCAGCCTCACCTCGCCGTGTGTCCCCGCTGGGCGCTCCGGTTCCTCTGTGATGTTTTAACGCGCTGATGGAACAATAATCAAAGAACTGCTGCGCCGAAGAGTGACGCTACCGAGAGCGACCGACGCACAGCTGCACGTCGCATGTCAGTGACGTAGCGACGGCGGCAAGGTTCCAACAGGTTTCAGCTGCTTCCTCTTCTGTTTCTTCTTCTCCTTGTTGTTATTGTTGTTTTCTTGTTGTGTACTTCTCCTTGTTGTTCTCCTTTCTCTTTTTTCTTGCTGTTTTTCTTTCTTCTTCTGCTTCTTTATCTCCTCCCCTTTGTTGTTGTTTTTCTTCTTCTCTTTGTTGTTTTCTTCTTCCTCCTTTCCTTTTTTCTTATTGTTTTCCTTCTTCTCCTCCTCGTTGTTGTTGTTGTTGTTCTTCTTCTTCTTTTTCTTCTTCTCCTTATTGTTGTTGTTGTTGTTCCTCTCCTTGTTGTTTTTCTTCTTCTCTTAGTTATTGTTCTTCTTCCTCTTCTTTTTTTCTCATTGTTCTCCTTCTCCTCCTCGTTGTTGTTGTTGTTCTTCTTCCTCTTCTTCTTCTGCTCCTTGTTCTTCTTCTTCTTGAATGACTGAAACACATTTGTCTTGGTAACAAACAAACAATCCTGCATTTTGGTTCTTTCATAGATTTCAACAATTTCCCTGAGGTTTACACCGAAGGGATCAATAAAGTTCTATTCTATTCTATTCTATTCTATTCTATTCTATTCTGTTCTGTTCTATTCTATTCTATTCTATTCTATTCTATTCTATTCTAGATTTACTATAAGTCTTCTGGAATTAGACAGATCTGTTGGGTCAAAATTAGAAATTCTAATATTTGGTTAAATGCTTTTTGGTCATTTTCACCTCGGTTGGGTTCTTCTGGTCTCCGTCCACTAGCTTCTGGTTCATTTGTAATTCCTCTGGACAGAATCGCTGCAGTTCAACTAAACTTGTTGTCTTTCTGACTCAGACTTGTTTCTTCATCAGTCCACAGGTTCTGGATGGTTTCAGTCAGAACTTTGGGGAGACCAGTCTAGAACCTTCATTCCAGCCTTATGGAACCATTTCTTCACCACTTTGATGTGTGTTTGGGCTCATTGTCTGGTTGGAACATCCAACTGTGTCCAAGATCAACCTTCTGCTGATGGTTTCAGGTTTTCCTGAACAACGTGGAGGTGATCCTCCTTCTTCTTCTTCATTGTTCCATTTACTTTGTGTAAAGCTTCAGTTCAGAGCATGATGCTGCCACCTCCATGCTTGATGGTAGGTTTGGTGTTCTTGGGGTTAAAGGCCTCACCTTCTCTCCTATAAGCATATTTCAGGACCAACATGTGTGATTGTTTTTTGTGACAGAAATGTGAGTGTTTCAGTTAATTCTTCTTTAAAAATCTCAGTGTTGTCTTGATATACACGCTCTTCACAACTGTGTGTAAACTTTCATTCTCAACAGTACGTTTGGCTGATCGCGAGAGGTTTTGTCTGACAGTTTTTTGGAAAAGGTTTTGTTTCTTCCACCTTTCCAGGCTGCAGTGTAGCAGGATGTGTTACTCCGTGTCACTCGCTGTTGCTGTTGGCGACGCTTAACGTCTTTTTTCTGCCAGGTTTTTTTGTGTGTGTGTGAATCCGTCACGGTTGCCAAGTTGTAGCTGTATTTAATGTCTTTAATGGAACGAGATATTTCTGCTGATTTAAGGCCATTTTCCAGCCATAACGTTCTCATCTCTCACTTGTTAATTTTTATTATAGTCAGATGGACACCCACATTATTATATATGAACCGTAGAACTGTTAATTCTTTCTCATGACATTTTCTCATAATGTCAGATAAACACTGAATAGCTCCTGTAGTAGATAGATGAGAGAAATATTTAGCATTTATTGAACATTTTATAAATTTCATTTCGTGACAGCAGCTGGTTTTAAAGCAAAATATTTTGTAACAGCTGAAGATTATAAATTGCCATCTCACAGTAAAACCCCTTATTTAGATGTATTTTTTTAGGTTTATATGTTTAAAACAAGTTATAAAAAGCTGTGACACTATCACCGGGTTAAAATAAATGTGTTACACGACGAGCATATTGTATGGTTTTAATTCCACAAAGAGACACGAACAGTTAAGTTGACAAAAAAAAATACACCAAAGAACTTCTAGAGAACTTTAAATTAAATTTATTGTCAATAATTATATTTCTGTATGCAGTTCTAAACACTTTTCCCAATGTGGCCTCTAGTGAACCACAAAGGAACTGAAAGGAAACAATCGAGATGCAATTAAAGTGCACAAATTTAAGATTTAATTCAAGAAAAAAAGTAAGATGTGATATTTTTTTACACTTTAATCTCATTTCAGAGGCACAAATTCACATAATCATAAATAAAATGTACATTTTAAATTCTGCCTGAAGCCTGGGACCCAAAGAACGAGCTTTTGTGACATTTTCAGGCCTTTAATAAAGCTGTAGCGGTTTAATTTTGCAGAATTTTCCAATGAAAAATCACAATTTTGAACTTAGGTTTTGGTTGAATTTCTTGGCAGCACTTTTACGACACAAATGATATGTTCAGGTACGGTGGAGAAGTTGGAAATATGATGATTTATTTCAGTTTTTGAAGTTTCTGGCTGCAAAGGGGTGTCATTTTTGTTGTTGTTGTTGTTTTTTTGTGATGAAAACATGCAAAGAAAACACCCAAAGTGAACGTACTTGGGGTTCACTGCAGTAAAGAGCTGTAATTTTCAAAACTCTTCCTACAATTTGCATGTAAGTACTCTCAAATTAAAGCTGAGAGTCTGCACTTTGAGCCCAAGTTCTTTATTTCGGTGAACAAATAGAAAAAAAGCTGCACTTCCCCAACTCGTCCAGGCGATGTCAGCATCAGTCTGCAAACACACCGACGCCAGAATCAACCGAGTGAAACAACTTTTAAATATTGCTTTGTGGTGTGAATTAGAAAGAGCTGCGGCAAGTTAAACATAAAGGATTTAAAGGTGGGAATGCTTAAATGAATTCAGCTGGACTGCAGTTAATATAAAATCCTTTTGAATGGATGTCCTTGATGTTTAGAAATGTGAAGCTGCTCTTGAGTTTATCATCATAAATGACTGACATGTGGTGGCCGATAGCTGCACATGATTAAAAAAAATAAATTAAAAAAACCCTGCAGGAATTAAAGAGCACAGGAGCATGACGGCTGTTCGGCTTTTCCTCATCGAGTCCGGCATCTCCCTCTTTAGGGGAGTATTCATTCCACTGCATCTCTCACCCACTCCGGCTCTCCCTTCCTCCCCTTTTATTTCCCTGCTCTGCCACCGCCGCTCATGAGCTCTCCACACTTGTTTCTCTTTTCTCCCCACAGCCTCTCTGTCGGCTCAGATCCCCGTTTCTCTCATTTGTTTTTTGCGGCTCACTTTTGATCTTCCCTCCCAGTTTGTCCCTCTGCCACTCTGCCTATGCTGACACACAGGAATGCAGAATGAGGCGAGCTGTGGCTCTTTGGCTGTTGATGCTCGCGACTCTGCTGCGAGGTGAGTGACTTTCAGTGCTCGAACAAGTGTGCGATTTCTGCATGTTTGATGCGTCCGCTTGCTTTTCTCTGTGTCTGTTGAGGCGGCATCACTGTGATGTGTGGTCAGTGCGGATTACAAAGCTGAGCTGTACTTCTGGATAACAGTAAAGATAAGATGATGGTAAAATGAGAAAAAGAGGAACAAATAGATGTGCTGAGGAAAACAGAAAGGTGATTATGAGGCTGCTGGTGGCTAATTTACTGTAGCTGGATGTTATGGACACAAGGGGACTATTAATCTGAATTATAGGCACAGCATCTGTGGAGTCATATTGATATTAATTAAGGTCCAGTTAGTGAAAATGAATTTGACACTCCCACTGAGTCCATTAATCTCCCACCGTTTATGGCGTTGAGGCACTTTTCACCGAACAGTTGAGCCCCAGAATGCTGCAAATGTGCATGTACAGGGAATTTCTGTGTCACCGACAGGTTTGTTCAGGCTGGGAATGTCATAAATATGTGATAAAAGATTGTAAGATGTTGTGTTTGAGTTGCTAGTAAGACATTTTTTACCTTTTTTAAAAAACATTCTTAATAAAAAAGAAAGAAAAATCCCATGTCCATAATTATTCATACCCTGAAATCGATGCAAATTGTTGAGAAAATTCAGCTTCTGTACAAATCATTTATCTTTGTGCAGTTAAGCGAAAAATGATTCATACACAGTTTGTTCTTTGACCAGCGGGTTTCTTTTGATTGGAAAATGGAATAAACAAGAGACAAGAGATGGTAAGACGTTGTGTTAGAGATGTTAGTGATTGTTTGTAATGCAAAATTGGTGATTTCTATGCAATTCATACCCTGGAAGTGATCAAATTCTTGTGAGAAAATGCAGCTTCTACACCATTCCAAATGCTCCTGCTAGGTTCTAAGAGGTTCTAGAGCGTTCTAATGCACTATAAAGTGAGAAAAGCTGATGCAGTAGTTCTCTGTTCGGGTCCATCACTGAGAGAGAGAGCTGCACATTGCTACTGCTGCTCACAAGATGTTTAAAGGCTGTAAAGTCACATCAAGGGTTTTCAAGGTTCACAGTTTGAAGCTTCATGAAGAAGTCCAAGGAGTTCCTCACTGTGGAACATGTCAAAGAGCTGCAGGAGGACAGACGTGATCCCTGCACTGGAAGAATGGTGGAGGCCCAGAAGAACCCAAGGACCAGCACCGAGAGCATCCTGATGAATGTGAGCAGTTCTGGTAGCAACATGTCAATCAGACACTCCAGCAGACCAACAACAAGGCTGGTCTCCATGGAGACAAGGAGGATCCACTTC